GTAGGTACTGCACTGATTATTAAAAAAAGATCAGAAATCTGTTGTGGTTGATGGCGTGCGCTGCCTTACCAGTGAACCAATGGCTGCACACTAGGCGTAAAGCTACCAATCCGGATAGCTCGGAGATATGTACAGTCTGCTTGGCAGGAACGGTAGAGGACATAGTTCACTGCTCGGTGCACTGTGTGGAAGCGACAGATTACTAGGCGAGAGCCTCTTCCCTGTGGGACTCCCTTTTGTTACGATCCTGGTCATTTCCCAATTGCAAATTCACAATGAAAGACAATGCCACCCAATTGCGAAAGAAATGAAAGCACTTGCAAAGAGATAAAGACCAGAGGAGAGGCAAAGAAGAAGAAGAAGAAGAAGAAGAAAAAGAAGAAGAAGAAGAAGAAGAAAAAGAAGAAGAAGAAGAAGAAGTACACCAGCAAGACCAATGACAATTCCCCCTTCTCTCTCCACCTTCCTCCTTCCTCCTTCTCTTCACCAATCTTATTCTTCTCTCAATAATAATAATAACAATGAATGGATTAACCAGAATCAATGTCCGAAGTTCCCTCTTACTGCTGACTCAACTCACAACAACAACAATAACAACAAGTCCACCATGGCTATGTCTTCCCTCCTTCAACCTCCTCTCTCATGCATAGGCCATGGCGGACTACTGGGGGCAGCTATGGTGCTGCCCTGATGTCCAGAAGACAACCCAAAGCAGCTATGCCGCTGCTTGACTTGGTCCGCTATGCCTGACTCTGCCCCGAGCTGCCCTGGTGCAGCGCTACCCCAACTGGGGCCTTCCAGATGCAGCGCCCAACAAGGTGATGAAGACGGTGTCCACCATAGCCAGGTAAGTGCCCTACCACTCTCCTACCATGCCCCCTTCTTCCTCCTTCTCAAGCTGGGGTGCTCGCCATAGCCAGGCTGAGCCCCAGCGGACCTTCACCTCCAAGCAGCGCTGCTTCAGTCCAGCGCTGCGCTCCAGCAGCATGTCGCCAATCCTTGCATACCGCAAATGAGGAAGAGCCTTCCGCTCTTCCTGAAGATATAGTGGCCTACCGGCCTCCTGGGCGGTGACTTTCCAGGCCAAGCGGCCTCCCAGGCAACCAGTACCTCCTCCCTTCTGGAGGGAAACATCATTGCAGGCTCCGTTATTGTCCGCACAGGCCCTAGACCCGGGCTACTTGGACTGGTACCAGCCTACCCCCAACCTACCGCTACTGGACCTCTAAAAATGCCAACTTTTTGTCTTCTTCTACTCGGCCTACCTGCTACTTGAGTGTTTTCCCCAGCTGCTCTAMGTGYCGTGGGCCTAYCTCCCGCTACCRGCGTGTTTTACCCCCCTGCAACCCTCCAGAGTCACGGCCACAGGTAAGTACCGGCCCGGTGGGCCTTGCAACCAACAAGTACCCTTGCGGGTCAAACGCACACATACCCCACCGGCAAGCACTCAGACAGGCATGCACGCACACACACACAACCAGCAAGCACTCAGACAGGCATGCAACCAGCAGGCACGCACACACACAGACTTGGAACCACAGCAGAATGCGGGAATCACAACAAGGCATCCATTCTAGTGACAAATCCCAGAAATCGGCAGTGTTCTCAGTCTGTGTTTTTGGCGGGTCATTACACTCTTCTCTTCCCCTTACCCTGAACAACCCATCCAACTACTCCTCCTCACTAACATCCCCACGATAACTTGGAGGGCGGAATCGAATTGGTTTGAACTCGTCAGAAAGGTGACCCTATGGGTGATCTGGAAGGAGAGATGTCGCAGACCAACTGAAGGACTATCAAATCCAAGGGACAAGGTATGGAAAGAGTCCAAGTCGATTATCCAAGCAGAGACATTGTGCAGATGGAGGAGAATCAAGCTGAAATGGCCCGAGGACGAAGAGCAGCGAAAGAAAGTGAGATCGAAATTGAGCAGGAATTGGCTGATTAGCGGTAAAGTGGCCGAGATCCGGGAAGACCGGGTGAGCTGGAAGGACTGGC